AATTAACATAATTCTATATATAATAATATTATGTATGTTATAAGGAAATATAACCAAGTTAATTATCAAGAAAATTATAAACATGTCAAGAATTAGATCGTAGAACTAATTAAATCCACAATTATTCTGAAACTGCAATTTTTTATGCAAAATAATTGCGGATTTCATTAGTTTCATGATCTTAATATGTTCATTCTCTTGATTGAAATCATGGAAACTTGTTTAAATTTAAATTAATTACGCCGCTCTTTTGCGCGTTAGAAAAATACTTGGAGTACTAAGTACTATAGACGACTGAAATAGATATGAGTAATAAAATGCTGTTAAGATGCTAAATTTTTATAAGTTTTAAAACAAACAATCATATTACAAATTTTGATATTTTTTTACTTTTTACTAATTTGGAAAAAGGAATTGATAATAATTTAGTTTTTTTCTTACACATTTTTTCTGTTAAATTTAAATTTTAAAGATGATGTTGGTACATTGTGAGATAACATTTATTTTATAATATTGATTAAAACATAATATAACTTGTATTGTTTATGTTGAATGGTCAATGTTGTAATTTTTTATTTTTTATATCATAAATGTGAAATGAAGAATTTTTAACTAATCACATTCCCTAATTAAAAATGATCTATTAGCTTTTTCAAACTGTATGTATCCTGAATTATCAAGAAATTAACGCATAAAATTAAGACGCAAAACAATATATAAAATACTCCGTAAGGTCAATCATTTGAGAGATGAGGGGGACTCAAAAATAAGAAATAAAGTTAAAATACGAATATAAGTTGTTGAAAATGTGTTATTATATAATTATTTTAGTGTTATCGTCATTTTTATATTGAAATTTGAAATTATTTTGCTTTTGATTTTTTTTTAAATTAAAAAATGGTCCTTATAAGTTTTATAACATAATTAAAGTCAAACAAATGTTGCAACAAAAGTTGCAGGCTGCTTTAGCACTATTCAACTGATAACTGTGGAATTGTGATCTTTGCCAAGAGATAAGCGGATTATTTACATCTCTATGTGATTAATTTCTGGTCACAATTTTGAAAAAAATTCGTAGCTAAAGCAATTTGAAATTTCAATATAAAAATGGCAACAACGCATTTTTGGATCTATATTTGTATCAATTTTTTGAATCCCGAATCATCTCCCGAGCGATTGACTATCACTTGTGAAACATCCTGTATATATTGCGACGCAACAAGAGTCTACTGTATCGTACTATTCCGCCTATCACTGTTTCACTGTTATTTCAATCAAGTGACGTATATAGTCATATTCGTTTGCAGAGTTATCTAGAATAATTTGAAGATATCGTAAAGTATAACGAGCAATCGTGTTATGATATTGAGAACGCTATCGTATTTGTGGAACGAAAATATGGAATGAAATATAGAATGCGCTTGCCTTTGCGATCCCGAACCGAGTAACAAAGATCACTAAATTCGATGCACATTTGTGAACTAAACGGCTTCTCATTTTCCAGCAATCTTTCCGATTCCTGCAAACTGATCTTGCACTCGCTGTCCAGCATCCTCGTGGTCATGGCCGTGACATTTTCTTTGTTCGCTTCTAGCATCTTGCACACTTCGTGGAACTACACTTCACAGCCAATTAATTAAGGTCAACGTCCTCACTGCGCGTGCAAAAGCGCATATGGTAAAACCATATATAATATATGACATTTATGGAATCTTTCATCAGCCATACATAGTATTGTTCTTCCGATTTTGGCATGCCAAATTAATCCTTTACTAACCTATTCTAATAACGTTCCTGTTATTTAAATCAAAAGAAACCTGCCTTTCACTTTTATGAGAGGACCGTGTATCACGCTTAAGTTCTCAGTTACAACTGCCGAGAATGTAGGATGTTTATTACAGTTATAGCCGTTGAGTAACCAATTTTTATTGATAGCAATATAAATGATATAAATGATTAAATCAGTCCCGTACTTGATGTTCGCACAGGAAGATCTTAATCAACCAATTAATATCAAAGAATTGATTTTTTATTTGATTTTTTTATATGTTAATGTATATTATTACATATTTATGAACGTATGTAAAATTATATTATTGCGTATATATATGTATAGTAAGTTTTAAATCGGTTATAATAAAATAAAAATTAAACAATGATCAATATAAATAAAAATAGTTGTTCGATCTTATAAATCATCTTTAGTGTTAATTCGTAAAATTACCAAGAATTTAATTATATAAATCTAGTAAAATTTGTCTCAAAAGAATAAAGTTCTTAAAAATTTAACGCATAAAATTCTAATATACGGGGTGTCCCAAAATTCGCGATTTTTAAATTTTAAAAATACTAGAAACATAGAAACCAAAATACAATGATCCGGCTGAACATATATTTCGTATTTC